ATGGGAAACATGTGGTGTTTGGCCAAGTAATTAAAGGAATAGGAGTGGCAAGGATATTGGAAAACATAGAAGTGAAAGGTGAAAAACCTGCCAAATTGTGAATTATTGCAGAATGTGGAGAATTGAAGGAAAGAGATGATTGGGGAATATTCCCAAAAGATGGCTCTGGCGACAGTCATCCAGATTTCCCTGAGGATGAGGATATAGATTTAAAAGACGTAGATAAAATTTTATTAAAATCAGAAGACTTAAAAAACATTGGAAATACTTTTTTCAAATCCCAGAACTGGGAGATGGCCATTTAAAAATATGCAGAAGTTTTAGATATGTTGACAGTTCAAAGGCTGTTGCCAAGACTGCAGATAGAGCCAAGCTGCACCCTATAGCTTTAAGCTGTGTACTAAATATTGGTGCTTGCAAACTGAAGATGTCAAATTGGCAGGAAGCAACTGACAGTTGTTTGGAGGCTCTTGAAATAGACCCATCAAATACCAAAGCATTGTACCGAAGAGCTCAAGGATGGCAAGGATTAGAAGAATATGATCAAGCATTGGCTGATCTTAAAAAAGCTCAGGAGATGGCACCAGAAGATAAAGCTATGCAGGCAGAATTGCTGAAAGTCAAACAAAAGATAAAGGCACAGAAAGATAAAGAGAAGGCAGTATATGCAAAAATGTTTGCTTAGTAAGGACTCAATTTTGCTTATTGTGTGATTGTATAAATGCAGTAAGAAAATGTAAAGGTTTTGTCTATTAAAAAAAAGAAATATGCTTTTGTACGCTTTTATTCTATCGATTCTCCTTGAAATGTATATTGTGTGGTAAAGCTTCTTATAGTGTGCATTTTGCTGATTGCTCCCAAGGTGCAGTTTAATATGTATTTCTATGATCTGTATTGCCTCTAAATTGGTAATTGGCTATGGAGGTTAGCTTAGAGTCAAGCTTCACTTCTATTTCACTTGGACTTGTTTGATAGTACCGTATTGTATTCTTCCAACAAGAGGAAGAACCTCACATTAGTTTTTCTTTTATTGTGTTGTTAATTGCCACTGCTGTTCAATTGTTAAATCTGTTAATTCCTATGGGTTGCAAAAGAGTTATTATAGTCTCAGTCTCTCATTCCTTCCTCATTTATTATCTGAATAATTTCTAAACTAAGGTATTTACCCTCCTCTACTGTTTACTACTAGAAACTTGTTTGAGAGACTAAGCCAAGCATCTACTCATCTATGACCCAGCAATTGCACTGTTAGTTATCAACCAATTGAAATTCATGTGTGTGCCAAAATTTATGAAAACATTATTCATGCCAGCATGATTTGTAAAATCTAGATACAGCAGTGAAGGGGAAAGTAGCATGAGCTATTTATAAAGTGGAGCTTTGGACAGCCATGGCAGTGAATAGGCTGCAGCCACACACAGCGAGATGATGAGACCCAGGGGCATGATGGTGACTGTCTAATGCCATTTAACTAGAATTGGCAGAACTAATCTGTATTAGGAACCAACGATGGCTAGTCTAGGGTAGGGAAGGGTGGTTTATACAGAAACCACCCTTTGAACTTATACATAATATTATTAAACACCCAAAAGTGTTTCCGGGAGGCTGTGATTGCTGTACTTGATGTGGGTGTTGTTTGCACGAGTGTTCACTTTGTGAAAATCCACTGCCCGCTTGTGGATTGTCCTCCTTTCTCCATGCATGCTGTCCTTCACTCAAATATACATTTCTGAAGTTTTGAAACAATTCTATCTACAGTAAGAAGAATCACTCCTACTTCACATCCTTGGAAATTCTGTATTGAAAAAATTAGTGCAATTTTTTTTAATTCCAGGAAATAAATACATATGAAGAGGAGAATCTACAACAAGAGCTGTAGGTTTGGGAGCTGACACCAGAACACCTTTGGAAATGGCTGTCGAGCCAGGAACTAGGAAT